ATTGGTGGCCCATGGTCTTAACGGTTCGACTCCCTGAAAAGGGAAGGGTATGGTTTTGACGATGCATGAGCCACCTTTGGGGAACCCACCCCCACCACGCGACGCGGAGTCACCGGGTAGGAGTCGTTTTTGCCTCAGGGGTAGGGGCAATGGCAACAGAGTTGCTCGACGACACGGCGCTGCGCACCCTGTTGTTCAGGCGCAGCCTACTACCTTTCTTGTGTTTTGGGAACCACTGGTTGCATGCCACTCCTACATCCAAGTGTTTCCCGCAGAACCGCCTCTTCACCGTGTCAGGCTTTCAATTGATCCGTCCCTGCATCACGGTTCCTTCTTACAGGACACAAAACCACCTGGGCTGAACAAAAATACCCCGCGCCTTTTCGTTATGCAAGGGGCCGTCCCTTAACTTGTTTCGCAGGCCAAAACCATTGTAAACCGATACAGAGGAAGAAAAACCGATACCCCCAGAAGCCATGAAGACACACATCAGGTCCAAGTTGTTGTCGCAAGCCAAGAAAAATATCATAAATTTGCAGGCCCCAAACCGATACCGAAACCGATACCCAACAGATACCCATCTCAGTGGCCGCCACGCCGAATCTACTGCGCATACTACTGAAAAGTTGCGACTTTCCAGCTGGAGCTGCCAAAATGTACTTTGCGTACTACACTTGTACTGAAAAGTTGCGACTTTCCAGCTGGAGCTGGGAGCTGGCAGAGTGTACTTCGCATACTACACTTGTACGGAAAAGTCACGACTTTCCAGACAGAGCTGCCAAAACACTGCAAACCGATGCAGAGGAAAAAACCGATACTGACCGATACTAGGGCATAAGGATACAAGGACTGTCCACGGGGTTGTTTTTTCAACCCACCTGCCTTACAGGGGAATCCTCGAAAGCAGAGTGAAAGCCACCTTCTAAATGGCCCAAAGGGCTTATCCAGGGATAGGGGTCGAATGATTGAAGGGACCCTTGGTGCGTTGGCCGCTTCGCCAGTTGAACAGCGTGGCCAACTCTTCCATCAAGCTGCCCGAGGGATTGCAGGGAGCCGAGACCGCGAGGGCGGTGTGGTCGGACGGAAGGGAGTTGTGGGTGCATGAGTCGGCTTCAAACTTACCGTCATTCACTTTATGTAGGAGTGTTTCATGCGCATGTTGTTTTGGGGCTTTCTCAAACAACGATACGGGACGTCCCAAAAACGATACCCCAAAACTTCAGAGAAAAACCCGGAAAACGATACGGGACGCCCTAACGTCAGAATGAATACAGCCCAGACAAGTAGTCTTGACGCTGGCGCACACACGCGTATATATATGCTATGTTTGTGTACGTGTATATTGTAGCGTACCTAGACATGTATGTATATATATATATATTTATATATGTATGCAGCCTACATATTATATATATATACACATACATACACATACACATTAAATCGATACAGTACATTACATTGCACTACATTACATTACATCACATTATAATACATTGCATACATTACATACATTACATACATTACATACATTACATACATTACACTACATACATACGTTACATACACTACATTACATACACTGCATTACATACATACGCTACATGCATACATGCATGCATGCATGCATGCATACATACATACATACAGACATACAGACATACAGACATACAGACATACAGACCTACAGACCTACAGACCTACAGACCTACCTACCTACCTACCTACATACATACATACATACATACATACATACATACATATAAGTACAGGAACAATCAGCAGAACCCTGAATTGATGCCTCACCTGCCTTTGCGTATGTGCAAACATGCATGCGTGTGATCAGCTATGCCTATTCGCCTTTGGGTGATCCGCACGAGATGAGGTCCCTAAAGCAACAGCAAAGCCACCTCAGACAAACCCCATATGAAGATATCCTCGTGTTTGATCCCATTTGGCCTGGTTTCTTTGTGGTACCCCTTAAACCTTTCGGATCCACTGTTTTCCCACCAGCATTTGGGGAGGTCTCAGACAAACCAAGTTGGGGTCGTTCTTTTCTGCCGAAAATCTCAGGTGACTCTGCGACCGCCGAGTTCCTGAGGGGGAAATGAGAAACCAGACTTGCGGTGCGTTCTCGGCATGGAATGAGGAGCATCCAACTGGTAGTTTCCTAGGGCACCCCTGAGCCCAGGTTCATTCCATTTCTCATTCCCTACCGATTTCACAGCAAGTCATGTTTTTTGTTGTTGTTTGTATGTTGGTGGTTGGTGGTTTTGGAGACCCATTTTTTTTTTTTGGTTTGAATCTTGGTGGTTTGGTGGTTTGGAGACCCATGGAGCGCCAAAAACCGCAGAGGTTCAGCTTCCACCAACCAGGTTTTTCCAGTAATGCCCTTCTCTCTCCTTTTTTGGGGGAGGGTTCCCCCTACTAGACTCGACTACTTATAATTAAAAAAAACGACTACAGGAAAAAAGGGGGAAAACACGGGTACCAACTATTTCCGAACTCTCTGCAGGACCTCGCCGATCCTCGGCTGGGAAAACCGGACGCATCGAGGATGGGGCGCATCGAGCTGCGGTTGGGCCCGGCCCTGGATCCCAAGATCCTGCCGGCCCGGAGGCCCAGAGCCGCGGAACCGCCCCGCGGAAAAACATCCAACACGGTTCGGCGGGCGGTAAGGAAGATGTGTTGGTTTAGAGGTTTGCCCAAACCAAATCACCAAGCCACCAAACAAAGCAGTTGGATGGCTTTACATCCATGGTAAGGAATATGTGTTGGTTTAGAGGTTTTCCTTTCAAACCACCAAACCACCAAACCAAGCAGTTGGATGGCTTTACAGGGGTAATGTCTCATTCCCTGAGCACCGTTTGCTGAAAGGAGTATTTGTTGGAATAGTTGGGAATCCACTCCATTTCACCACCAAACCACATCCAACCACAGGGAAGCTGATACTTAGGGAATTCCCTTGCTTTTGGTTTTAAAGGAATATACCACAATCAAAACCCGGTCAGATGAAGGTTAGTAAGGGACAGTCCCAACCAATCCCTTTTCATGGTTCTGGGTAGACCATTTGAATACCGGGTTTTGATTATGACACATACTTATGTTTCACTTTCCCTGTTTGGTGTCATGTTCATTTCCAGTAGCTGCGTTCATTTGCGAATCAGACTATTTGTTGGAATAGGTTTCCCCAAGCCACCAAACCACCAATCCAACCAGAGGGACGCTGATACACTCAGGGAATTCCCTTGTTTTTGTTTGACAGGGCCTAAGCAAATCGAAGTCTGGGGTCGACATGAATGAACACACGACAAAGCTGAGTTTGGACAATTTTTTAGTCTTGGATTTGCTGAAAGGAATATGTTATTTGTTTTCCCCCCTAGCCCAAACAGTGGTCTCACAAAAGACGATTCCTCAAAAGGGTGCCATTGAGGTTCCATTTGCTTAAGGAGTTTTTGAAGAGTTTTACTTGTCCAAGGCGAATCGACCTTTTGGCATTCTGGTTTTCCCATTTTGGAAACCATGTCTAGTCATGTGCCCAAAAAGGTTAACCTTTGATTTCCAGGTCCTTTGGGCAAGGAAGGAATATGTATTATTTTCCCTTATTGGTTTTAACTGAACACAATTTCACTGCTGGAATAAAACCAACAGGAAGCCAAAGGAAGAGCAAGAAGACACCAAACGCTTGCTCGAGCCGTGACGCGCAACTCCTGGGGCCCGAGGTTCGCTTTGTGCCATCCAAACCGGAGGATGAGGCCAAGCCGGGAATGCCATCCGAGCCTCATGGACTTTTAAGGGTGGTACGGCGGGGGGTATAGGTTGCAACGTATCTTGTTATACTGTGGATGGACGAAATCCATTTCGCACCACTTTGAAACCATGGGGAAACCATCGTTTGTTGCTATTTGCAGGGAAATCATCATTCCAGGGTTTCTTAGGTGGTGCGAAATGGATTTCGTCAATCCACAGTAAGGTAGCACCTCGCCAAAAGGCCCATCCCGGGGCCATACTGGATTGAGCCCTCCCCCCCTTGGCAGACCCCCACCACGGCGTTGATGCGGCCTATATGGGGATGTGTCAAAATAGGGAGTTGGACCGAACTTTGCTAGAACCCCTTTGGTTTACCTTTAAACGACCTCAAAATCAAAGCCCGCACACACACACACACACCTCTGGTTTTGGTGGATTGCTCCGATTTCGGTTGAGGGCTAATACTCGATTGAGCTGTGCGGATGCTTGAAAGCTGGAGCACAAACCAGCCAAGGCTGTGCCACTTGGGACACCTGAAAAATCACCCTAGCAAAGCACAGTCAGAATTTCTAGGGGTTGATTCCCCATTCTTTTTAGCCATCATTCTTTTCAAAACCAACCATTTCCCCAGGGTTTTTGGTCTGGAAAGAATGGGGAAGTTACCCCTCAAGAATTGGACTGGTGAATCTGTTGGTCGGTGTTGACATCTTGAAGCGCTGCAAGGAGTCTGGCAGCTTCCCGAGTCCTACATATTCGTTGAAAGCTCAGTTCTCATTGGTTGGACCACCCTCAAACATGGTTCTCGGACATACTGACTACTTTGGATGGACGAAATCCTGCACCACTTGGAAACCATGGGAAGCCATTGTTTGTTGATATTTACGGTTGAATCATCATTCCAGGGTTTCTTAAGTGGTGCAGGATTTCGTCCATCCACAGTAGTTCCCCACGTTGGGTGAAAGTAGGTGGCGCAATGGCCTACAGGTTTCATCATCCCACCCACTTTGACTCTGGTGTAAATGGTGGCGAATGCAAGCTTGGGTTCACATACCCATTTGTAGAGACACGCTCGCCCTTGCTGTTTGGGCTCAGGCAAGCGCCCCATGGCCCCTTTCAATGGCCACTCCCAAAAAGTGTGAAAAGCACAAGCCAAATCACCCAACTCAGAGCGCAAACCGCGCCCACATCCACCCAAAACTTATCGCGAGAATCGCCCCCAAAACCCAGCCTTCCCCCCAATCCCCCCAACCCCTCCCGCCCATGGACGCGTCCGCATCGCCCGTGGTTCCGCTGCCGGCCGTGCCTGCCGTGCGGCTGGTGGTGCGCACGCTGGGCGGAGATGTCCTGGCGGAGCCCCAAGTGGAGCTGAGGCGAGTTGGGAATTTGAAAGCTTCGCATTGCCAGGCTGGGATATGGGGGTCTCACTTCCTGAGTTCATGGAGCTTTTGTCACTTTGTGGGTTTGGACCATGTTAGTGGTAAGCAAAAAAGTTTGGACTTTGTTTGGCAAATCCGCTCAGGAAGTGACGGGTTGATCAATATTCCCTTCGGCCTTCAGTTTTAATCGTGGGCAACTTTTCTCAGGTGAAAGTCGAATCTTGTTGGTGGTTTCCCGAATCGTCACGCCATGTAAAGGACGATTTTATCAACCCCCCATTCATATGTGTGTTTGCACTTTTCTTTCATGCGCAAAGTCACAAAATATGACAACTCAGAGAACTCTTCCACTTACCATAGACAACTCTTACAAAAGGTCACCACGGGAAACAGAAATCAACAGAATGCAGATAAGTCACCGCTTAAACTGGACTCTCCTCCGAAGCATGTTTACATGTTAGTGTAGACTGCATGTATGAAACAGAGTCGAACACTATGTTTGTTTGTGTGCCCCAGATGCAGGCCCAAGGTATCACTGCTGGAGTTCCAGTAGCTTGAAGAGACCTGAAGTCAAAAGACACACAGGTGTTCGACAAGCTCCTTACTTGACACTTCATGTGCTTGCGACATGGGAGCATCAGCGATCCTTCGACAAGAAAATCGGTGCTTGGGGCTCACACACACAAGGAGAAGCCTGCAATGTTGCAATGTGATGGTATTGCCGCTGTAGCCACTGGCAAACCTGCTGTTGCCACTGGCAACAACAAGCAGGGGTCTCCATACTTGGCATGTTGCAAATGACCTTAAGCTACTTGCGGGTGAGTGGGGGGGCGGGTGGGGGGGCCGGATCGATGGCCCTCGTTGTGGGATCTCAGTTGGTCGGTGTGGGAGCTGAAGAGGGCGCTGTTCTCAGCCGGCGCGCCGGCGATCGCGCGCCAGAAGCTTCTGCTGGAGGATGGGGTCCTGGGCCTTCGGTCGTTCGGGCGGAAGGTATGGTAGACGCTTCCGGGCGCTTCCACGAGTTTTGATGGGACGTGGGGTATTTTGAGACAAGATTTCGTCATGATTGCAGAAGAGTGCACAATTAGCAAGTCTTTAAGCCTCTTGCGTTAGCCTCCATCCAAGCCACCTTGCCGTGGAACCTGGCAAGGGGACCATGTTCATTTCGTTGGGTTCCTGTTGTTTTGGACTTTTGAAGGGGCGGTGGGTGGAACCGCAAAACCCTTTTGGCGTCTTCAAACGGTACCTCTTGGGCCAACCTTTCAAGCTTGTTTTGGTCGGGACGATGTGCACGGGGGGGAATCTTCGTCAGTCTTTGATTCGCAGCAACCCCAACTAAAGCAAGGGGGGCCATGGCAAGGGGTGCGTTCCCAAGCAAGAGCACAGCCAAAAGGATGTGGGTGTGGCTCAAAATGAACCAGGAGGGGCAAACCGCAGGTTTTGGTCCATGGTTCCACTTGCCAGGGTTCCATTTTGGCAGTCGGTACTCCCAGGATCTACGCAACACCTTAGTTTCGACCAGATGCTGGAGTGTTCCTAATTCGAATCACACAGCCTCGTCTCATACAGTAAAGATTACTTAGTTTCGCTTTTTCAACCTACCCATGAAGGGACAAAACGGACCTCCAAGGAAACACTACCTTTTTCGGAGGGAGTTTTATCTCCAACCTCCATGGGCAACTCAGAAGTGTACTAGAAGTCCAAGGAGTATCCCTAACAGCCCTGGAACCTCACCATGCCTGGATCCCTCCAGAGGGACCCTGCCACTGCACCGGGATTTCAAGGACCACCTTGCGACGCTGTCGCTGTTGGGGGGGATTCCTTGGAGCCGTCTGAGTTGATGGTGCGCTAAGTGATGCGGGGATCGATTTCCACGATGCAGGTCCTCTACCTGAATTTCTTGTGTTTGGTGTTGGATTTGTTGTAGAAGTGGCATATGTGGAATCCCTAGTAAGATGTCCCTTGGGATCTTCATTCCCCCCCAGTTGATTCCCTAGATGTCCTTTGGGATGTGCATTCCCACCCAGTTGGTTCCCTAGTTGTCCCTCATGTTTCATCCCCGTTGATCCCCTGAACCAAAACGCAGGAGAGGCCGCTGGCGGACTCCGAGACCCTCGCGGCGGCGGGGCTGTCTGATGGCGCCCAGCTCCTGTGCCTCTGCGTCCCCACGCCGGACCGGAGGGACTGGAGGGACCGGAGGGCAGCTCAGAGGGCGAGGGTGCCAGAGGAACACCCAGGGCCATGTTTTGGGAAGGTTGGCAAGGGAAGAAACAACCTGCTTCCCGAAACAAGCCTAGCTCAACATGTTCTTATCCTTTGCCAGTCGGCTTTTTGGCCCAAGTCATTGGGCCTCACACCTTCAAATGGAGAATTCGTAAGGCGATCCATTTCCGGGGTCAGGCAATTTGGGAGATTTGCTCAGTGAAGCAATGCCCTCTGAAGAGGTACATGTTGCCTGGAGGTGAATGAAGAGGCAAGCAAGTGCCTGGAAGTTGTCTTGCTCGCGTTGCTCAATGACTCTGGATCTGCAAATGGGACACCCCTCAAAAACACCCAGGTCTGTATCTGTCAAAATGATGTCGGTCAAAAAGGACTGGATGGCTCATTTGGGAGGCGCGCATTTGGGACGAGCTATGATTCACTGCAGCTGCCCGCCCCTTTTCGGACCCGGAGCGGTCACGGGATGTGGAGCTTCCAGACCGCCCCCCGGCACCCACCTGGTCAGTCTGACAAATTTTCAGCACCCCAAACACACGCAAGACTGAACCTGCACTCAATGTTGGAGCTTTGTGGTAAACGAGTGTACGCATGTTCCATCCTTTTATCTGCTTTGCGGCTGAAAACCAATAGCCTGTGGTTATGGGGTACTGTCACATCATTCATAATCATACGGTAGATGGACGGAATATTCAAACCCTTAATTGTATTAATTGAAACCTCCGCACCCCCAAAGTTCAAAGTTGTTGAGCGTTTGGGAAGGATCCAGGCGAGTGGACGAAACAAATCAAACCCCCATCAGCTGACTTGGGGAACCCCTTTGCACAACTTTGGGACCAGCATGTGTGTGTGTGTCCGTGTGTGTGGTATTCAGTGCCTCATTATACACATGTGACAACCAAAACCCGGGTAGTTGAAGGTGAGTCAGGGACAGTCCCAACCAGAAATCGATGCAGCAGCTCTTTTGGTTCTGTACACGGTTCTGGGTAGATCCCGTTAGTACCAGGTGACTCGTGTAGCTGAAAGCTTTGGGGTCATTGCCCAGATGGGCCCTAGAGTGCTTGGGAGCGTGCACAAGGGCTTCTGGCAGGGCTTTGGAGGGGTTGCCGTTGGCGATACCACCTCCGCGATTTGTTTGTTGGCCAGAGGACGGCAAAAATATGGTGCAAGCCGTCGTGCGATGCCGGTCTATGAGCGAAGAGGAGGTGGCTCGAGGCTGCCGCGCCTTGGCCGGGCAAGGTTTCAAACCCATCGCACAAATCGCCCGAAACGTCAGGGGTTCTACGTTGCAAACGGCTGACAGCGAGGGTTGATGTCAACCTTCACACCATTTCACACCCATGTTGGTAGAACCGAGAGTCGATGGGTTTTTTGCGATACTCATGTGGATGGGTGGTATGCGCATAGGCACTACCTGCAGATGAAGATGGAAACCCAACAAACATATGTACATGGGGGGACAAGATTTGGGGTTCTATCTTCATTTGCAAAGAACTACCTGGTTGCGCAGTGGATTCCGCCTCAAACATGTATTTGTTGGTAGGCTTTGGGGTCCGGTTGGAACTCCACATTTGTCAACAAAAGGGCTATTAGATGGATTTCCCTTACACATCGTTTGAAGATTACCATTTTGAAACCCTGCCAATCGTTTTGCATAGGCGTTTCTTATTCACCAAACGCCGTGGATGGATTCCCCTTAACTCCTCCAACAGCAGGGAACCTTCCCTTTGTTGTCGGGCCAAGCCGTCAACCCCGTCTTAAGGCAGAGTGCTGACGTTGGACCCGGCGACCAACAGCGCACGGCTGCACAAAGATGAGGAGGAAAACTCCTTCAGCTTTTACAAGGCAAAAGTGGGCAGCCTCCAGCGGGGCCGGTTTGGTTCGCAGATGGTCTTTGCCGATAAGGGGCCGCAGCCCAGGCTCATGATTTTTTCCGGGTTCCTTTGGGGATGCTGTTGGGGATGCCACCTGGCGTACTTGTGTTCCCTTTTGATTCTTTAAATGGTTTTGGGCTGGCCCCTGTAGTGTCTTCTTGTTCATCTCTTTATTGGCAAACCGGCAGCAAGTCGCCCATGTGTGGGTCCAAGTCCTATCAGTTGTCCAACACCACGCTTCAACCTTTTAAACGGCTTCCCCCTTTTGGTCACTAGGTGAACTTCTTATTTTCGGGTCCTATGCGCAGCTTGTCCAAGTTGGCCATTTGAACCATTACCTTTTCCACACCCAAAGGAACCCATCATATGTTGTTTCGTTGGGGGTAAGGTGCAGGTGGGTACTACCAGAACCCCAGCGAAGTTATACAACTCACATTCATTCGACAAATTCCAAACACTTTCATCCCAGGTGGTAAGAGAGGAATGTGTTTGTGGCTGAATCACGCTGAATCATCCACAACCCCCGTTGGCTATGTCACGGAAGCTTCCACTACCTGGTCTTCTGGTTGCAGTCAGGCCTAAACCGAAAATCCCATGTTGGGTTAACCAAAAGTCAGCTCCGGTTCTACACGTGCTCATGTCAACTCACTTCCGATCGAGTTCCTGGACTTTTGCAAGCTTTTGGGTTTGAACCATTTTGATGGCAAAAAGGTTCAGACTGTTGGCCAATCCACTCCGGAAGTGAGTTTAAGTTTGGAGGTCGCCCTTCTTGGGGTAGGGAAACCAAGGGGACACATGGGGGCTGGAAAAGGGGGGAGGGAGCCCAAATAAGCCCTTATTAAGCCTTATTTGAGGCTTATTGGGGCTCCCTCCTCCCCCTTTCCTCCCCAGCCCCCATGACTAATTTGAGGTCAGGCGTCAGCTTTTTTCAGGTCCCAAGCCTTCGGCGACAGGTCCTGGAGCAGCACTCGGAGCTCGACGAGCTTGGCCAAAAGTTGGTGCAGAACGTGGTGGAAGGCCGCGCCGCCGGATTGGATTGGTTTGTCGTTTGGCCATCCAAATCGTACCCCCGGTGAGCATCCCAATCCAAGCACTAAAATAGGTGCAAACACGGGTGGTGCATTCACCTACCCAAAAAGGGTACCATTGGTTTTGACCCACAGCACCAATTCTTCTTCCCTTTTTTTTGGGTGGCTGCCCCACTAAAAATGGTCTTCCCCAGAAAGGGTTCCCTTTTTTTCCAGGGTCACTGAAAAACTGAGTATCAGGTTGACCACAACATGGCCGTTTGCATGGGGGATTTGAAGCCCTGGTTCTTGTTGAGGGTAAGTGCGAAACTACCTCCTAACTTACAACTTTGGAAGCCGATCATAGCTTAGTGAGCGAGTTGGGACTTGTTCTGCAGACTCGAGACTCACACGTTCAACTGGTTCATAGCCATGGTTCAAAATTATGTGATGGTTCATTTAGGATTTGGGACATGGGTACTCACTCATTTCCTATTTTTGACATTGGGGCCCCCGCAACCCCCGGCAGCCTCGGGCAAGTGTCTATGAACTGCTGTAAAATCCCGTGTTGAAAAGCCTGGGGGCGGGCAGGTTTTCCCCTCACCTAATTTCTACCACAACTTCGGGAGGTCCATTGGGTCCCATGTAAGGCTTACTCAAGTTTTCGGCAAACCACCATATGGCTGTCCACTTGGTTTTGTCTGTTTTGATGGACCCCGTTTTTTGTGTGCGTGCGTGTTTGAGGGAATCCTAAAAGAAGCATTTGGGGAATTCCGGTGACCCCTGTTCCCCGGACTCCTCTGCTCTCCACCGGAGTCATTGTGATTTCATGTCTGGATTCACCGGCTTCCCCATCCAAACACCACCCACCTTGGGTTCGATTTGGCGGGGAACTGGTTGCAACCACCCCCTAAACCAGATTCGGCTTTGGCTCCAAACCCCCCCTCCTTATTGCGGGGGAAGCCCATTTTGTGTGTGTGTGTGTGTGTTTCCAGTAAACCTCTATATAATATAGTTGTCCAGTAAAAACCTCTATATAGTTGTCCACTTGATTCCTTGTTTCTGACGGACCCCTTTTGTGAGTGTTTTCGGGAAATCCTAAGAGAAGCCGCCCATTGGCTCGATATCGATTGCAGCGGAAGGCTACAGCAGCACGGTCTTCGCCTTCGGCACCACCGGATCTGGAAAGTCCTCAAGCCTATGGGGCGAGAAGGAAGAGGAGGAGTGGAATGCGAGACGACTTTTTTTTAACCGGTGGCTCGTCGCTTTTTGAGGGTACCCCCGGCTTTGTTTTCTTTGTGAGGGGTTTTCAGGGGGAACCACAAGGACAACATTGCCACCATTTTGTGGGGTGTCTTTCTCTTTCTGATTCGATAGGCAGGGAATGAGAAATGGAATGTTCCCGAAAGGGGAGTCAGGCTGAGTCATTCCCCCCTACCTATCGCACCAGCAAGTTCTTGAGAATCTCCGTTTTGGGGTGGTTTTTTTTGGAAGCCAAAGAGAAACAAATGTTGGTTCGCTCAAGAAGAAGGACGAATCCATGTCCCTCCAGTTGCTGAAGAATATGGTTTCTTTTCGTTACAGGAGACCTGTTTGACCCCTAGGTAGACTTAAACCTCGGGGTGGATGTCTCCTAGGCCTAAGCTTCCATTTGCTTAAGAGTATCTTGTCGTGTTGTGTTTATCCTTCTATTTTGCCCTGGTGGCTTTAGGGGGGATCTATCATCACTTCCCTTTTTTTGAGGGGACTTAAGCACATGGAGGAGTTCTCTTTTTGGATCCTCTAAAAGTTGCGATTGCAACGCCAACCACGCAACCATGTATTGCTCAACTTGTTACGGGGAATCCAGTCACTGTCACGTTCCCTTGGGCAAATCGTGACGCGCCGTGACATCTCGGGGTGGTTGCGACGTCACAAGTGAAGGTTCCTCTCCTGGGGGGGCCATGTCTGACTTTCAGGTGAATTGATTGGACTGCCTTTCTCAAGGGACTCGTCTTGATATGGCACTCAATGTTCGCAAAAGGACAGGATCACCCTACGAGTTACAGCGAGGACTACACTGACTACACTGGGGGTGAAGAACTGGTTTGGGTAGCTGAGTTTGAATCGGAAAATTGAACATGTCACGTATGTTTGGTGTACCCCAGACTTTGGCCAAGGACAAGGGAATTGAACCATCTACTTTCTAGCACTAGTTTAATGGGTTGATTCTTCATGATTTTCACCCATCGCTCTCAGAGACGAAACCCAGACAACTGTTTGCCATTTTGAGGAGAATGATCCCTACTTAGATGGTCTGGGAGGAATCGCCAAATGGCTAGTATCCTGGTTACAGCGGACTTACAACCTTTGCAAGTGGGGTACTACCCACGATTCCTTCCTGAGTTGCTGGACTTGGACCTTTTTGGGTTTGGACCACTTTGGTGTGGGTTACAACCTGGGCTTACCCATTTAGCAATGCCTTCCTGAGTTGCTGACCACTTTAGCGGTAAGCAAAAAGTTTGGACTTTGTTTGGCCAGTCCACTCAGGACGTGAGCATTTGAGAACTCAGTTGTTCAGGGGACAATGTATTTTTCCCCATTTTTTGCCGGTGGCTGCCGCACTAAAAATGGTCTTCCCCAAAAAGGGTTCCCTTTTTCCAGGGTCACTGAACAACTGAGTATCAGGTTGACCACAACATGGCCGTTTGCATGGGGGAGTTGAAGCCCTGGTTCTTGTTGAGGCTAAGTGAGAAATCACCTCCTAATTAACTTACAACTTGGGAAGCCGATCATAGCTTAGTGAGCGAGTTGGGACTTGTTCTGCAGACTTGAGACTCACACGTTCAACTGGTTCATAGCCATGGTTCAAAATCATGTGATGGTTCGGGACATGGGTACTCACTCATTTCCTATTATTGACATTGGGGCCCCCGCAACCCCAGGCAGCCTCAGGGTAAGTGGGAAACCACCTCCCAACTGCAGCTGACAACTGAGAGAAGAAGGATCCCCAGGGTCCGTGTTTCGATCCTTCCCAGCCGCAGGGCCTCGCCCTGGCGTGGGGCAGGCAGCTGCTGGAGCCGCGCTCGGCGCGGCTCCAGCCGCGCGGGGCGCGCTTTTGCTGCTCCCTGCTGGAAGCGGTGGCTGCATACTGATTTGTTCGGCGCCTGTTTCTGACTGTTCTGATGGGAAACCCCTCTCTCATGCCATTCCCCTTCATTGTTTTCTTAGATTCAACCATGTAAATATGATCAATCTTGGATTTACCCATGTAATCATGATCAAGCTGAATAGTAATTGTTTCAACACTGGCGCCAAAAAAAATCTGACTGGATAACTGGTTCCGGGGCACTCCGATTCCATGTGTGTGTTTGGGTTGAAAGGGCAAGAGGCAAACTGGACTCTCTTTGTTTTTTTTTGTGCGGCGGGGAAGGGTTAACCCTCCCCAGTGATTCCATTTTGAGGGTACAGAGAACTCAAGGGACATTATGCGACGTTCGAATCTGCATGCCAGGAAATATTTGGGCTCAAGTTCTTACGGCAGGATGGTCATTCGTACTCAGCGAAAGGCGCGGAAGAACTTGCCGTTCCAGCAGCAGTCGGTGGTGGAGTTCTTCTGCATCGCCCAATATCAAGGGAAGCAGCTGGGGGGTGTGATCAAGACCACGAAGCGGGACGACAATCGTAAGAGCATTGCGTACAGCGTGAAGCTCTTCGCGATTGATAAGCCGATGCTTGGCCGATTTTTTTTCAAGCCCAGCTTGGCTCGACCAATTGGCTGTGTGAGTGTATGTGTGTGTAGGGACTCCGCTAAAGTATCGGTTTCATTGTTGTTGTTTTTCAAGCCTTTTGGGCAGGACGGCCCGCAATCTAGTTTTTGCCCTGGTGAGCCGTCTTCTGGCCAAACAAGCTGCCAAGGCCGTAACCGCTTGTGGCATCTCTGAAGTCGCATACGGCTCGTCACAGGGATTTGGACACAATCATAGTAGTAATGATAATGGTAGCCGTTCTTCAAAAGGCTTCCCTCCAGAAAAGACCCGTTCATGTGAGGTTTGGCCCAAGTTTCCCCGTTGTACAAGTAGCCTAGAGTTCATTTGGGAGGGTCATGGGAAACTCAAGCAAGCGGTCACCAGAAAACAAGCCATGAATGTAGGTGCCCCAGATGTTGGCACCCGGTGCTCTCGCTGGATGTGTCTTTTTCAAGGCTGGGCCCTCAAAAATGGCGCGGGTTTCCGTTTGATTGACTTTCCTTTAGAACCACCAAAGCCAGGATACCCTCAAAACAAGACACACCCGTCGCCTATGAATATTGAAAAAGAGCCAGCTCAAAAGTGGTTGATCGTTGAATGATGGCCACCCGAGTCAAAATCCGGAGCGCCCCTTGGCAGGACTTTTTGAGGAGACCAAAAGGAAAACACAAAGCCACCGGGCACGGTCCCTTGCAAGCAACGTAGGGTGGATTCCCTACATATAGTGTTTGCATCACAATTGAACCAAGCCCCAATGCGAGCATTCGGATCCCGAATAGATGTTGGTTGTTGCTTCAAAGGTAGTTGTGGCATCGCTAGTAGATGCGGGTATGTTTGCAAGTGAACCAACCGCATCTTAGCTGGTGAAATGCAAGGTGCCCCTTGTGGCCATATCTGGTCGACATCCACCCAAACCTGCTTTCGGTTTACTGAGTTTTCCACGTGCCCGACTTGCAGTGTATTGGGGAAAGCCGTATTTGTCCATGGTAGGGTTCGACCTCAGATGAAACCAGGCGAAATGTAAAGGAAAACGTACGACAAGCTGGTTGTTTGTGGCGTGTGTCCGAGATTACCATGCCCATCACTAGTGTGACATCTCGGACAGTGGGAATCCGACCCGCTTTCCCCATCAGTCCAGGTTCCGATAGGTCCCTGGGGGCAACTTGGGATTTGCTTTGATGTTTTTTGGAGTCAACCACCGAGAACTGTGCCATTTGTCCTCTGAATGTCCAGTGGATGTTTTGGGTGGTGACCCCTTTGACATGTCCAAAACCACGGTCCAACTTGCGCGACCCGAAGGAAGGTCATCGCGGTGTCGGATGTGAAGCACGCCAAGGGCGCCGGCTTTGAGCAGGCGGATGGGCGGCGATTCGCCAGAAGTGCCGCCATTGAAGACTAGTGGGGGCCATTGAGGACCATTGTTGATGGCTGTGTGGGAACGGATTTTTGGACTTGAACTGTTTGGTTGCAACAGTGGATGTTCCATTTGGACCCGCCAAAAAGCTCAACCTTTTGGGCCACAATCCTAGAAGAGGGCCACGAAAACGTTGTCAAGGATGTGCGCTTGCTCAGGTAGAATCTGGGACCATGTTTTCCCTGTTTTCCTCAGGGAGCTCTGCCAGGAGCCAGGACCTGGAGATTCCTTTCAGGTTCTACTAGCTTACGTGGTTTTAGCTTGGTGGCTCCCAGCCATCCCCTTAGCTTTTTGGCCTTTTCGTAGTGGTAGTTTCCCTTGAACCCACTAAAGGTTCAACTTTTAGTGGAGGATCTGAGGGCAGCCCAGTTAAATTAGACCTCATAAGAGTCAGTGCGACATCATGTGTCCCATAGAAATGACTCAAATCCTCACATTCTGCCCCTGTGGCCATGGCTCAGCTTGGCTGGAAGCACCACCTTCCCGTTTGGCCCCAGCCACCCCCAGCCAGGCGCTGCGGCAATTGCAGTCCCAGGCTGGGAAGCTGGCAGCCACTCCAGAGGCCACCCAGATGCGGAACCTCAGGGAAGCCTGGCACGACCGAAGACCCAAGCCACTGGAAATGTTGGTACTGCCAGCCCCAGCTGGTTCCACGCTGAAGCTTTAGTTTCCCTGCAACGTTCAGGCGAGCGACAGCATGTTACTTGAGAGCTTCCCAGCGAATCAGAAAGCACCACAACGATGGAGAGAGTGCAAGAAGATCGGCAATCAACACATGAGGGTGTTTATACAACCGCGCTTCCGGCTGGGCGGCTTTGCTTCCAGAAAATGGTTGTAGCACTCAACTTGTTCAAGGGCACCATACCCTTTTCATGCTTTTTAAGGCCCTTTGAATCTTGAGGGCAACCAGTCCAAACCTCTTCCTTTTTTTTTCCCTACTTGCAATATGGACAAAATCCGGCGCCTTCTCGGCGATGTTACTCGATCTTAGCCATGGAGGGCCTTGACCGGGTCGCCTTTCCGATTTGGGGAACTATGGTCATGGTGTGGGTTCCCCTTGTTTGCTGCTTTTGAAAATTTGGTTTGAAACATCACCTTTTGTGCCAACTTGAAGTGAGTTTCTTTGAGTGATGTCGAAAGGGGAAGTATAGGGAGCCCAGCCTTATTCATTTTCCTTGCAATCCTAGGTTTCCCAGTCACGCTGTCCACAAGCCTTGTTGGAAGTCGTAAGCCGAGGAATTCCAGAAGGCACGGCGCCAGCGAGCGCAGCAGGGAACTGCAGAGCCCAAGTTCTACGGGGGCCTCAAGGCAGGAGGTTCCAGGGAATTTGGTCAGGTGTTGAGCGCTTGGATTTTGTTGTTCAGCCTCCGGGGCATAAGCCACCAACAACTTGCTTTGTTTCATTTGAGCGCGACATATAAGGGGGTTACAACCTAGGTTACGAACAACTTAGCAACTTAGCCGAACACCCAAGCAGGCTATCATTTTGCATAATGGTCCCGGTTGAGTGTGCCCTTTGCACCTAACGTGAAAAGCACCAGACGGTATGTTGTGTTTCGCGGCCACTGGCTGTCTTTTTTTTGGCCGATCGATGGCGTTCCGTTGGTTCCTCTTTCAACCTACACGTACCATCCAAGGGGTGCCCCTCAAATCGCCAGGCCACGGGAGATTGAACTTGTTGTGCGTGATGTTTCTTTGTTCAGGGTACCTCTTATCTGGTGCTGTGAAGCAAAAGCAGAAGGATGCCACCCAAAATAGGGGTTCTATTTTGAGGCAGTCCTTGCTGTCTTTAAATTCACCTCGTCCAAAACTCGACTTTTGAAAAACCTGAGTTTGGTTCGGTGTCTTCGTTCCGTGGGCCGCAATGAAAACTTTAAAGCAGGGTTGAACCGTGCCGCAAAGATATCCCCAGAAAGGGTTGGCTTTCTTTGAAGGCACTAGGGCATGTGGCTGTGGGTCAAAACCAATGGTACCATTTTGGGGTAGGTGAATTCACCACCCATTTTACTCTATTGTAGTGGTTGGATTGGTTGATGTTCGCTGGGGGCTAACCGATTTGGATTTTGAAAAGCCCATGGCCATGTGACGCTTGAGCCCGAGGCCAAGAGACCGTTCAAGAAAGCTGTGCAGCAGAAGGCCAAGGATCGCTCCAAGGTGACTCCGATCCCACTGGCTCGACTCTACGCGCAGGGATGTGCCAGCTCCAGGCTGGCGCGCCTTTTCGCGTAAAAAACAAAACGCGCGAGGGCGAAGTGGGCAATTTGCCGACGGATTCATGGCCAGCCATGAATGAAACTCGGGGCAGGCGGGGTTCCTACCTTTGCCCTCACTTCCGGAATTGTCCAGTTTGTTTTTTTAGTTTGGATCTGTTTTGGGCATATCGGTTGGAAGTGAGGGCCTGTGATACATCGTGTGCCCGGAAAGGCGAAGGGGGATTCGCCTTTCCGGCGCCTTGCATCAAGGCGCTGGCTTGCCGGGCGTGAGAAAAATGCCTGCGCGCAGGGATGCGTGCCCTTCAAAACCAAGGGGATACATGAGAGATGGATGGCGTCCGTTTGCTTTTCGGTTGCTGGTCCTTTTCTTTGATTTCCTTGGGATGTCCTGCTGGTCTCCTTTTGTGTTCCTTTTGATTCCCTTTTGAAGCGCAATCCGCACCTGATCCCTGATTTTTCAGCATCCACATTCGCAGATCTGTGGCGGATCGGTCCAGTTTGCAGCCAGCGAGCGTGCCCGAATCGGTGACTCAATCCTCCTCGCTTTGGTCATCACCAACCTAATGCCGGTTCGGGACAAAAGCTATTTCCGGGGGGGCGGGGGACATCCTGCACCAGCGCAGTGTTCGCAGGGTGTCATCCATCCCAGATGCGAAGTGAATGTTGTCCATCCACAGTATTTGGCAAGGACCTTAAAAGATTCAGAGCTTTCGGTATGTTGTTTTGCTTAATGGCTGGAACTCAACATGGTTTTCCACTTTCACGGCGGAAGCAGGCCAAGGGTCGCTGTTGGTCTAAATCCGTTTCAGGGGCGCCAAACATGGCGTTGAATCTGAGACCCCCCAAAAGTTTGTTAGGCCCTTTTTCGTGCTTAACATTCATGAAACAAAAATCCCCCCGGGCCTGATGTCCTTGAGCATGTCGATGCTCGGGTTGCCTGCCCTTCGGCCGGCAGCCATTGTTCACCTGACTATCCTTCCAGGGTTGTTTTTGAGCGTACCTAGACTCTCCATGACCCAGGGTTAAGGGATCAAGGGGTTTCTCCCCACTTCTGTGATGCAAGGGAATCCCCCTTCATATGAAGAAAATAGTCTTTGGGAAGCCCTTTCTGTTGTATCACAGAAGTGGTCATTCCCCACAGCCCGGCCATGACCCTTTAAACATGGGTGCATGACCCCATTATTTTGGGAAATGACCAACCATTTTTTAAGGGTCATGGAGTCTCCAGGTATGTGCCCCAAACATGTAACAATGTATCCCGTACCGGTGGTACCCCAGTTTGAAAGGACTATATTGTTTGAAGGGACCGCGGGTTCTTCGTTCCACTTTTTTGTTTAAACATGTGTAAACCAATGTGGTTTAATCAACTTTGTTTTGGTTTGCCTTTAAAAAGCGCGATTGGTGTCAGTTGTTTGGCCAATTGGGCTCAACACTGACGTGGCCTTGAGGTTCTAGGTATTTGAGGACCGCCTACATGCATATGCTGAGGAGATCCGCTCCAGCACCACGGACCTACTGGCGGAGGCAGAAGCTAGGCCATCCAATGAGAAGCTGCCGGGGTTAGGGGGATTCAACCACTCAAGGTGCACTTCCCGATTCCCCGTGTCACGCCTTTGAACTTTGACTTTCTATGGCTGCCACCGGTCCCAAGCCTGCCAGGGGCTCTGAGAATTTTTCCCGGATGTTTTTTTTTTCCCTGGTAGTTGTCAGTTGTTGATTGTTTATGGCTTCGGGATGCTGAGTTTTCTTTCAGGCCCTTCAAAGGAAAGAAGCCCTTGGACCGATTGGAAGGTCTTTGGAATGGGCTGGCGGTGTGGGATGGCCCTCGGATTTGGCGACGTACACCCGATTCGAATCGGGGGAGCCGGCCCCGCGCCAAGCCCAGACCACACAACACGTATTTCCCACTCTGGAAGGATCAAACGTTGTGATTTCACGGGCGTGTGAAAGTTCAGGTTTCGCCGTGGCTCAGAAAAGTGGGACCAGTTTTTGGGGCCCCTTGGAAACAAAGAGCAAAGCCTGCGTAAGCCCAGCTCTTTGATTTGGAGCCACACCCGTTTGTTCGAAGCATTTCTTCGTGTATCAATGGCCCCGGCGCTGGGCCCTTGGGCTGCGAAGTGTCCCCTGTGGTTTTGTTTGGGGACCAAAGCCTGGATTCATTCCAACTCATTCCCTACCTGTCGCACCAGCAACTTAATCAAAACAAACACGCCCAGGTTTTGGATTCTGATCGCACCGTGGGGGGGCTCCAAACTCTGCTTTAGCCAAAGCTCAGATCAGCATAGCAAGTCTCACCAGCCGCAGGTGGGAGCAACCTAAGTAAGCTGTAGAAGCTATAGACCCAAGTAAGCTATAGACGCAAAACATCCGGAATCCAGTGTCTTTTGTTGTTGGAATGACCTCCAGAAAGGTGTTCCTTTGGTTTCCCTAACCAAGGTGAACCGGGGCAGACGAAATCAGCATCAGCTAGATATGATTTGGAACATCGATTTGCCCCTCCCCCAGCTTGTCCGCTTCGCGATAGGCTTCCTTTCTGGTTGTTTTGTTAGAAACATAGATGGTTTTGGTTTGCCTGGTGGTTGAGTCATCCACCAAGGCCATCTATTTCCACCAAAATTGGACGCCTATTCTCGCGGATGCTTTTGCTTGACACCGCCCAAAGCTCCCAGGACAGCGCGGTGGTACAGCTCCGCGCCGAGAAAGGCGCCGATGGATCGTCGGTGGTCGCGAAGGATGTCACCTCTGTGGAAGTGAAGACCTTGGAGGAGATGAAGGCCCGAGGATCCCCGAATCCACACCTAACATGTCTGCCTACTTTATAGCGAGCTCAACTTCTTCTTTTTTGGGTATCACGAGCGAAAGGCATGATGAAGGCTCTTTACTTGGAGATCAAATTCCTAATTTGGCTTTTGGAATTATGGTAGAATTTGCCGAATGGAATGGGACAGCCCGCCACCCACGCCATGTTCATGGTTCTGCAAAAAAAGCCCAGATGGGTGTGGAAAATGGGCGGGGGCATCTTGCCAGCTTTCCTTTGGATATCCAGGGGAATCATAAGGAGCTCACGGATCAGGGGGGTAAGACGAACGAAATGGTGCCCTTGATTTGGAATTTGCTGCTTTGTGATCTAGTAATTTGCCTCACAAGGGGTATCCACATTAATGAGCCCGCGGGGGTTGGGCAAAATGTGTTTACACCACACACTGGCAACCTAAGAGAAACCCCACCCTCAAGACCGGGCAGTTGGCCAGAGAAGCCATTGGGGCTGAGGGTTGGGTTATTGATTAACGTAGCAGGTTGGGTGAGCCTTGGACAAGGTGATGTGTTTCTTCTACCTCCTTATTGCCCCTTTGGTGGGAACCCAGGAAATGCATGTTTCCGCTTTTTGCTTGGAACCCAGGAAATGAACTGCGCGCGCGAAAAATTAAAAGGTTCCAAGTCTTCCATTTGCTCAACCAAATGTTTGTTATTTTTCCTACAGAAAAAGACCTGGTCGGGCCACTAAAGTTGGGGCGGTTCAGATCCCCCCAGGTACCACAGGTACTTCTGACTTGCCGTGCCGTGACCACAACAAGTGCCATTTTCCCCGGTGGTTTAGGGGAAGCCATCACCAGAAAGACGGTCGATGTGTTTTCCAACCTTGGGAGCCCAAGACCTCATTTGATCGGGGGTCAAAGGCCCTCATATTTCGCGGCCAAGGGGCTCCTAAGGGGGACTTGAGCAAACCCTGGGGGTCAAGCCGCCATTGAAACAAGGTGGGTTAAGTTGAAAAAAACACCATTATTTTTTATTTTTTTTCCGAAGGTGTTTCATCCTCCAAATTGGGTCAACCATGTTTTTAACGGGGAGGTTGAACCCCACGGCCAATGGATAACGCGTTTTGCCCGAGTCCTTTCGCCGAGGTGGTCTTGGGTTTTGGCCTCCGGCGCTCCACTCAGCGGCGGAAGGAGTTTCCCGGGCCCTACGGCGACGCGGATCTCATCTTCAGCCTTACGGACGGGCGACGGGCGACGAATCATCTCTGTCTCCGGCCAAACGAGTTGACTTGCTGGCTCTCATCAGATGCGGGAATGAACGCCCTGTAACAATGCCCTCTGGTTTCCTTTAAGAAAGCTGCCAGGTACATTCCCGAAACCCTGGGTCATACTGGTGCTCAGCCAAGCATATAAAACAGAGTCAGAACATGTGTCTTTCAACTATCCCTGGGAGTTGTTGGGAAGGCCTTCCGGGGGGAAGCTCTCAAGGGTTTCATTTCTAACAGAAACCTTAGACCCCAGTTTTGCGTTCGAATGGTGACGGCCCGACGGCCCCGTGGGCTTTTCGAAAAGCCCCTTGCCCAGGGCACACCAAAGGTTGAGACCTGTTTGGCCAATCCGCTCGGGTAGGAGGTGAAGGCAGCCACAATGGCGCGGTGGCGCCATGGGATGGATATGAGACACGAGTCATTTTATCTAATCTAAGGTGGATGGGATTGGGTACACTCACCTACTTGTCATCAGACAATAGAGGGCTCTCATGAAATCCCAATGTAAGTTGGCAAATTATTGTCTGGCTCATATCACAGCCGTACTTAGCTTGGCTTTTTGGGCTTGTTGCGTTTTGGTTATCCTTTATGTTCCCTTTCAACCAGCAAACAGTCGATTTGTTGGCGGGGAGTCTAAGTTTGGCCCAGATATGGGTGTTTATGTGTGTGTGTGTTGTGCTGTACTGTATTCAGTTCTGTTCTGTCATGCCATGGCATGTCATGTTGTGTGTGTGTGTGTGTGTTTGTTTTTGGCGCCCTGCTTTAGTTTGTTTTTTGTCTAAGAGCCGTCAACAGGAAGACCGCCCTGGTTTTTTGTAGGCCACCCAGTTTTGCAGTGTGCTTGTTCAAAGAGAAAACAAGCCCAGCCTGAGTACGGGCCAGTTCTCCAGATTCCAGGTGGAGACTGTGGAGGAAGGCCAGCCTTGCATCCGGAGCCTGCAATTTGCAGAATGCGCCATGGCGATTTGTTTTGGGGGCGGCGGCGGATTTTGATTTGGATCAACCGGGAGTCAGAATGGTTGGAAGTTTGCCGAGGTTTCAGATAGCTCTCAGTTGGCGGTTTGGATTGAGGCGGTGTGGATTTGGACTGATCTGGATTTGAACCCCTGGGTCTTGTTAATCTGAAACCACCCCTTGGCCTCTAAACCGCCCATTCAATCCGCCAGTTAAAGGGAAGCTGAAGGTTGGCCCACTTATATATTCGTTGCCCTGGAGGGCCCCTGTCGATGTTTGCTTATGGCAAACACTTGAAACATGGACCCTCGGTACGCACAAGTGGCTACTAGAGGGTCACACGGCAATATCCAAAGTAAGCCCACTCGCTCTCGCCACCTGCGAAGAAAGTAATCCAAACAGTAAACACGCCATGGTGTTCACATTGAAACAAAATGTCAAGTAGTCAATCCGGGTGCTCAGTCTTAGCCTCCAAATTTGAGTTTAGGCTTCCTGTGGCTTTTCTCCTTACGATCCAGATGTTGATCACACACAAAAGCAGTATGGCATTAACCTTCAGACCCACTCCCCTAAAAACCCGTTCAAGTTGAAGTCCCTTTTCTCTCGGGCTACCAGGTCAACCTTAGTCTGAGTCAACCCAGTTGCCCAGTGGTGCCCTTCTTTCTTTTCTTGGGGAAGGGTTCCCCTTAAAAGTCAACCAACCAAAAAAAAAGATGTCCCAGCGGAAAATTTGAAGGCATTCAAGAAGTCATTGCCCAAATTGCAGGGCTTTCTTACCTGAATGAATCCATGTGCGTAGCCCTTTTATTCCAATGGAAATCCACTGGGCATCTGAGTCAAAGGCATGGGGCTTTGGCCCCTCGCCGAGGCAGAGGCGCTGGGCGAGTGGTGTCAGCTGGATGTGCCCGTTGCATGAAGGACTGCGAGATGTGAGCCGCTCGTTACCCGTTCTCGGGGTAAGGCTAGGCCCTAGCAGCCATGTGTTTCATGTGAAGAGAAGATTCAAGGGAGACCAGACCACCTTTTTTGGACACCCAAGGAACTCCAAGAGGAATTCCAGACCACCAAGAAAAGACCGCCCTATGGCGAGAGAGTGGCTCGGGGGTATGGGTATGTGTGGGAGATGCCCTCGGATCGGGTACAGATTTAGACCAATTGGGGCGGCGGGGGGGGAACCTCGAGAACACGGGTTTTGCTGGTCCCCTTTTCAGGTTGCTTTAAAGGGACGCAGGAAATCCCTCCGAAAAAAGGAGGTCCATGTTTATCATTTTGACACGTACGCGCACTCAAATGAGAAACCGCAGGATGCCTCTTGAATGAAATGAGGGGCGCTGCCTCAAGTATATACCAAGCCCTCTCTCATACCGGGCCTTGCCAAGAAAAGGGCCAAGACTGGGGCAAGAGTGCTCTGTTCCCTTTGGCTTCCCTTTGAAACCAGCCAAACGAGGTACCCTCAAAGGAAGACACACCCCTGTAGTGTCTCACAAAGACGCAAGGACTGCATGCGTGACTGACCACGAGCTTGCCGCGCATGGCTGCGAGTTTTGGAAATGCCTGAAAACTGTTTGGCGGATATGAATCCCCACCTAAATGATGTTCACCATTTCAAGACCCTAAGTAAATTATAGGTCACGCCCAACTGAGTCAAGTATCTCCATTCTTGTGGGGCTGAAGCCCCCCTTTTTTCACTGGCAGCGATTCCCGATTGAGGAATCAACCATACTGTGGATGGACGAAATCCTGAACCACCTGAGAAACCCTGGAATGATTTGATTCCCCTGTAAATACCAGCAAACAATGGTTTCAACCATGGCTTCAAGGTGGTGTGAACGGATTTCGCAACCATCCACAGTATGTTGGTCCAATACAATGCTTCTACTACGATACATATCGTTGACCTCTGTGCGAGGATAAGGCACCAGCACTGGCATGCAACTGTGCAGCCTTTGATTGGTTTGTGTCAAAATGGGCGACCCTCCAAACTGGAGGTGTTCCTTTGGATTCCCAGCATGGCGAGTTTCCTTTCTCAACACCCGGGGATAAGTTTGACCAAACCGACCGCAACCCAGAGATTACCCAGACCCCTTAGCTACAGTTCAACGCTAACTTTTCTGGTGGCGCCCTGTAAAGCACAAGATGAGACATACTAGTACAATAATACGGTTTCTTCTTCTAACAAGTTATGGTTCAGCGGGTTTGTCTCAAAACGTGGGAACCCTGCGAGTAAGCGGTTTCGTTTTGGGTTTTCTCAAGGGCATTCCCAAAATGGTTACCCCTCAAAACTCGTCGGTTTCCTTCTGCCTTTGAAACCAACCAACACCAAAAGCAAAACAAACATCAGAAACAAGACAAATTGCACCCCCAAACAACAAAGAACAGACACCCGAAAAGGGTACCCGAACCAAAAGGGGCTCATTGCGATCGCAATGAGCTAACACGAACAAGAAGTTTCAAAAGGACCAAACAAAACTTGGCTGCTGCCAGATGCTCAACCATCTTTGATTTCCGCAAAAGGTTACCAACAAGAATTATGATCTGTAGGAGCCCTTTGGACACGAAATATGAGGGCCTTTCTCTCCCTTGAGGCCTCAAGTGAGGTCTTGGGCTCCTGGCAATCCTGGATCGCTTTTTTCGAGACCCAAAGCGACGCTGCTGCGGCGTCAGGAGGCGGCGTCCTACGCTGCTGCGCAGAGCTCCATGATGCAAGCGGGGCCCCCGGGGGCCTGCGATCCAATCCGAAGAGGATGCCGAGTCCATTTGCTGAAAGGAACCCAGCGCCCCTTGTTCTTTCTCTATGAGCAGTGGGCCCGAAGGGCAAACTTCTCTTCAGTTTGAAGCGTGGCACATTCTGGGACCTCTTTTAGAATGGTTGACATGCTAAGGTCAAATATGTTTAATTTTCTCCTGTTGGTTTTAAAGGGAACCGATTTCACTACTGGAATTGTTTTTTTGTTTTTTTCTAGGGGACTGAAGCAAATGGACGATACCTGGACCCAACTACCCATACAAAAAATGGGTTCTTAATGTCCAGTGTTTGGCTATTGTGAGGGTCCAGATGCACGTAAGTCCTTCCCAAAATGGGTTTCGGTCGGTTTTTGAAGGGAAACCAGGAGGGAACACACCACTTTACAGGACCAACATTTTTGAGAGACCCCCATATTGGCCAAGTTGAAAGCAACCTTTGCCAGCCGTATCTTCAGGGTTTTTGCGTTTGACATGTACCAGGTGACGTTTAGGTGCATCCTTTAAGGGACGCTTTTAAAGTGGTTGCATGTTGAGAGGTTCTTAAAATTGTGCTTGGGGAGGGTAAGCCATGGTTTAGAGAGATTGTGTAACGGGCTTACTTTGAGATGAATCAAATCCCAAGATCCACGGTAGGGACATCATTCCATTCTCATGAGTAAACAGCCTTGGGGACATTTGATGATAAACCAGGCCTCTAGGCAAAAAGAGGTCTTTTTGCCTGCACCAATTTCAAGGGGCGCTGCCGAGGTAAGAGGGGTGTTGCCTGTGTATTTCTTCATAGTGGCAACTGACTATGCGTCCCAGGCCCAGGCAAAGCGACGGTTTTTTTCCTTACCCAAAATGTGTTCCAAGTTGCAGCCAAAACGCAGAAACATGGGCGACATGTCTGGGGCTTAGCTTAGTCTAATGACATCAAACAAGGGGAATTTCTACTGTGGGAAACACCCAAATGGATTGTATAGGATATGTCATAGAACCCCCTGAAATGAGGGCAGTTTTCATTGCCTTCTCTTTAACACCACAGACAAGGGACCAATGCAAGAAGCAGCAAGCACATGGGGAATGGACAAGTAGCCCACAGCTTCCAGGCCTCTAGTCCAAGGATGCTGGAAGATACATGTCAACTCCTGACTCAAAGGAACCCAACCCCCGATTCTTGCGACCCTCAAAAAAAATCCGGCGACGTTGGGTCAAGCAAAGTCGAGGCTAAGAGGCTTTCACAGCGTTCGCAAAGGCCTTCAACCTGTCCATGTCCACCCAACAGATGGGTTGCAGCAAATGTGGTCCGACTATTCGTGGGATAGCCCACTTAAACGGTCAGTTGGAAAATTGTGGTTGCCTTTTTTGAGGAACGCCCGAAGCAAAACAACAAATTGGGGGCTCCCTCAAAAACAAACTAGAAGGCGGGTGGCGCGAAAGTAGTTTCCATGACACGCAGCCTGAATCGGTCCATTTTTCCCAACTTTGCATTTCACTGTCTACTCTGTGCATGCAACTATGCATTTCACTGTCTACTTTCCCTGCGCATGCCTCCATGCATTTCACTGTCTACTTTCCCTGTGCATGACCTCTATACTTCTCTCTGTACTTTCCCTATGCATGCCTCTAGGCATTTTGCTGCGCACGTTCTCTATGCATGCCTCTATGCATTTCACTGTCTACTTTCCCTGCGCATGCCTCTATGCATTTCACTCTCTACTTCCCCGTGCATGCCCCTCTGCATTTCGCTGTCTACTTTCTCTGTGCATGCATCTATACTTCTCTCTGTACTTGCCCTATGCATGCCTCTAGGCATTTTGCTGCGCACGTTCTCTATGCATGCCTCTATGCATTTCACTGTCCACTTTCCCTGTCTATGCATTTCACTGTCTACTTTCCCTGCGCATGCCTCTATGCATTTCACTCTCTACTTTCCCTGTGCATGCCCCTATGCATTTTACTGTCTACTTTCCCTGTGCATGCATCTATACTTCTCTCTGTACTTGCCCTATGCATGCCTCTAGGCATTTTGCTGCGCACGTCCTCTATGCATGCCTCTATGCATTTCACTGTCTACTTTCCCTGCGCATGCCTCTATGCATTTTACTCTTTACTTTCCCTGCGCATGCCCCTCTGCATTTCGCTGTCTACTTTCTCTGTGCATGACCTCTATACTTCTCTCTGTACTTGCCCAATGCATGCCTCTAGGCATTTTGCTGCGCACGTTCTCTATGCATGCCGCATTTCACTGTCTACGTTCCTTGCGCATGCCTCTCTGCATTTTACTCTCTACTTTCCCTGTGCATGCCCCTATGCATTTCTTTGTCCACTTTCCCTGTGCATGCAGCCATACTTCTCTCTGTACTTGCCCTATGCATGCCTCTAGCCATTTTGCTGCGCACGTTCTCCATGCATGCCTCTATGCATTTCACTGTCTACTTTCCGACTTTGCAGCCGGAGCTGCGGCGACGAATGATCCCTGCAGAGGGGTCGCGCGCGGCCGGCAAGAATCGCAAAACAACTCCAGATTTTGCACATCGACCACGCCGATCCCCGCAGAGGGTCGCGCGGGCAAATTAAAATGGGAAAAAAACAGTTTTTGCACTTCGACCACGCCAATGCAAGCAGGGGCCCGCATGCGGCCGGCAAGAATCGCAGAAAAAAAACCACAGTTTTTGCACCTCGACCACGCCGATCCCCGCAGAGGGTCCCGCGCGGCCCGCAAGAATCGCAAAAACCCACAGTTTTTGCACCTCGACCACGCCGATCCCCGCAGAGGGTCGCGCACGGCCCGCAAGAATCGCAAAATCCCACAGTTTTGCACATCGACCACGCCGATCCCTGAGAGGATCTCATTTTTTCGCAGAGTGCGCTTGGTCCCACCGCGCCGCCTTAAGATACTAATTCTAAGACAGCGTGCAAGTTTCCTCGTGCAAGTTATGCTCGTGCAAGAAGGAATGCAAGATCGCTACGCGTTTCACTGTGTACTTCCCTACGCACGCGTCTACGCATTTCACTCTCTACTTTCCCTGTGCATGCCCCTATGCATTTCTTTGTCCACTTTCCCTGTGCATGCAGCCATACTTCTCTCTGTACTTGCCCTATGCATGCCTCTAGCCATTTTGCTGCGCACGTTCTCCATGCATGCCTCTATGCATTTCACTGTCTACTTTCCGACTTTGCAGCCGGAGCTGCGGCGACGAATGATCCCTGCAGAGGGGTCGCGCGCGGCCGGCAAGAATCGCAAAACAACTCCAGATTTTGCACATCGACCACGCCGATCCCCGCAGAGGGTCGCGCGGGCAAATTAAAATGGGAAAAAAACAGTTTTTGCACTTTGACCACGCCAATGCAAGCAGGGGCCCGCATGCGGCCGGCAAGAATCGCAGAAAAAAAACCACAGTTTTTGCACCTCGACCACGCCGATCCCCGCAGAGGGTCCCGCGCGGCCCGCAAGAATCGCAAAATCCCACAGTTTTGCACATCGACCACGCCGATCCCTGAGAGGATCTCATTTTTTCGCAGAGTGCGCTTGGTCCCACCGCGCCGCCTTAAGATACTAATTCTAAGACAGCGTGCAAGTTTCCTCGTGCAAGTTATGCTCGTGCAAGAAGGAATGCAAGATCGCTACGCGTTTCACTGTGTACTTCCCTACGCACGCGTCTACGCATTTCACTGTCTACTTTCCCTGCGCATGCCTCTATGCATTTCACTGTCTACTTGCCCTACGCATGCCTCTATGCATTTCACTGTCTACTTCTCCTGCGCATGCCCCTAGGCATTTCACTGTCTACTTGCCCTACGCATGCCTCTATGCATTTCACTGTCTACTTTCCCTGCGCATGTCCCTAGGCATTTCACTGTCTACTTTCCCTGTGCATGCATCTATGCATTTCACTGTCTACTTTCCCTGTGCATGCCTCTACGCAGTTCACTGCCTACTTTCCCTGCGCATGCATCTATGCATTTCACTCTGTACTTGCCCTATGCATTTCATTGTGCGCTTTCCCTATGCATGCGTCTATGCATTTCACTGTTGCAATTGAGCTGTGCACAACGACTTTACCGGAAAAACCCTTCGCAATGCTTTCAGGGAAAAAACGGCACACCCAATTGTGCGCAGACACAGCGCAGGCAATTCCAACCCGTAGCGCAGGTGGTGCACAGCCTGGCCTCTCCTCGCAGAGGACCCCATGTGCCATACCGGAACTCACGGCTGGCCTTTCTTTTGAAGGAGCGGGCCGAGTTGTTTCTTGGTTACCACTCGAATGTGTGGCTCGGTGGCAGGAAGCCGCCTTCTCTGCTTGGTTTGCAGGGAAGTGAAAAGGAAATTGAAGCCGTTTTTGCACACAGACCGACACTTTTTTGTTGAAAGCGGGAAAGAGCTGGAATTGCCTATGGGTTGTTCCAGCTGAGCTGAAACAGAAGCATTTCTGTAAAGGCATGTGCGACTTGGTGTGTGCCCTACCTTGACCAGGGAAGCCAACGTGAGGGCTCACTTGGCTCAAAATCAACACATGAAGGCACCAACCCCCCCCTCCTTCCAAAGCCCAGTTTGGGGCTGGAACCCCAGATTTGAGACAGACCCGGCCGGGTTATCAGATTGATTTGGATCCGAATTCTTCCGAGTTCATGGAGCTTTGGGCACTTTTTGGGTTTGGACCATTTTGGTGGCAAAGCAAAAGTTTAAACTTCTTTGGGCCAGTCCACTCCAAAGTGCGTCTCATGTGGGATTTTCGAGGTTGGCTGAAATCCAACCTCGAAGGATTCCCTGGGCGGCCCCACGAAGACTCTGTGGCTGAGCCACGTGACGCCCACTGACGCAGATTACAAGGCGGGGGATCCGACAGAAAGAAACGATGGGAGTGTCTCCAACTGGGGGAGCCACAAATGGATGGTTCGCCTGTAGGGTTTGACTTCAATCGCGAAGGGATCTTCCCTTTTGGAACTTTTGGGGTTGTTCTAACATAGTTTGACAGGAACATATCGTTTGGGGTGGTCTTTGCATGCACCCATATGTGGGCACCCATCTGTCAGTTTCAAAGACTCGACAAACTCCAACGAAGCCTGCCCCGAGCACCGAAACGACAGCACAAAATCGGTCGAATGTTCCCAAGCCACGATGTGGGAGTTGTTTTTTTTTAAATGTTTTATTTGTTTCCGGACTTTGAGACTTGGAGGAGATTTATGGGTTTGTCTTCGGAGGGGCCCCCTGTTTGGCAGGTTTCGCAAAGGAGGAAACCAAAAGGAACACCAGTCATTTTGTCCCAACGCTTGCACCAAAGCACAGTCGTGCAGCATCCTACACCCATTTGTTAGACCCTTTCAACCCAATTCACGGCATCTCCGCCATTGTCTCCCTAAGAATCTTGGGGCCTTTTTAAGGTCCAAACCCTCCAGCGGAGATCCCTGGCCCCTCCAACAGAGAGTCCAATGATGCTCCGGCCCCCCCCCCCAAACAAACAAAAAAACAATAAAACAACAAACAAACAAACAAACAAACAAACAAACAAACAAACAAGCAAGCAAGCAAGCAAGCAAACAAACAAACAAACAAACAAGCAACGAGGGCCCTCGATTTTCCTTGGCTGGTGGTCGGCTCTGTTTTTGAGGAAACCTTGTCCACGCTCCGCTACACCTCCAACGTGGGGAGAATCGAGAACCCCCCGCTGGTCATGCGCCGCGGGCCGGTGCCGGATGCCGTGCCCCTCCAGGCAACCCCTTGGATTGGCGAGGCTCTTCCATCAGGTTAACGCGGAGCCTTGGTTGATCTTTACGAACGTTTGTCCATTCTTCATGGTTGTTGGGAAACATTTTACATTTTTGCTTATTGTGGTTAACTACTTTTTTTGCTCCCCTTGCAACGTCAACCAAGCATCAGCCTTTGAACTGTTAGCCTTTTGGACAGCGATGTTTTCGTGATCAAACAAATATCTGGATGGGGGTCCAACACCAACGCAGGAATTTCAATCACAGCCTTTCCCACGGCCGTTCCCCTGGGACGAGTTGGCCAGGGTCAAGAAGAGCCTGCAAGCGCGAACGAGGCCATGAACGCTGGTCACGTAGAAAGGTAAGACCAGCTGTGCAGCGAGCGCGGGCATGGAGCTTCGGGTTGTTGCCGGGTGACGAGTCTGAATGAGTCTCAGTTGTTCAGTGGCACCCCACTTTCTGTCAGTGGTGGGAAGCCGCCCTGTTCAACACATGGTGGTGCTGCCACAGATCCCAGATCAACCGCCATCAAGTGCAACTGCACTTGCGATCTTCCATGAATTCCATGCGTCAGTTGAGCACCTCGAGCAATCCTTGCGGAGCCAGCGGATCAAGCAAGCCAGGGAGCGCCGCAAGGACCAACCTATGCTTGTTTTCAAGGACATAGGCAAGGAGCCTCCGCAAAAAGTTGAAACGCTGCACGAGATTACCCGGGCTATTGTGGTTGACGTCTGTGCGGACGATGTGTCAGTCACTCTCGATCCGCCTGGCGTTTTCACATCTGATGAAGTCTGTGTATTCGCAACCGCCTTTACCATCCAGTCCATTTGGAGGTGGATGTTGCAGGGCTGCATGATGTAGCGCACATTCAGGCCGGTGATACCATTCCTCAGACACGGGCAGTAGGAGAAGTGCAAGATGTGTTCCAAGCCTTCACTAGTGAGTGCTCCCCGCGATAAAATGCTCACACGCAGGAGCAGTTGGGGCATTGGGAAACGGCGCAACAATACGTCGACAACTTACCTGAGGGGCAGGAGGCTGCTTACCAGCCCATCACAGTGTCGCAGTGGCTTTCTGCCATCAAGGCTAGGAAAGTTCAAGCCGCCATAGGCCCAGATGGTATAGGTCCATTTGGTGTTTGCAGGAAAGCCAAGCAGAATCCGAATCCAAAGATTGAAATCAGAGTGGGGAAGCCTTTGTGAACTTGCGCTGATGGAAACAACGAGCACGTTCCGCAGGCATTTCTAGAGCGGAACAAGCGGCTTCGAGTTGTCATTTACCAATTGATGCACTGCCAAATGTTACTAGCCATTTTGCTCTTTTACCCTCTTGGGTATGTTGGTTTCAGGGGGTCTAAGTCGGGGCAAGTGCCATGCAACCACGCACCAAGCTACCTGCCAGCCGCAGTCCCTGTGACCTTAAATGTTCCTTGCTTCAGCATCAAGACACTTACATGATGAGTGTGATGCTTTCTGGCTTCCACCGTTTTCGGTAAGAAGCTCCCCTCAAA